CAGATCCTCCCTGCATCTCCACAATCAGGATCAGCCTCACTGTCATTAAATAGCAATGAGGTTTGGTTTGTCTCACTGCAGGTGTCCCAAATTAAGAGCCACGGCACTGAAAGATAGAGAGAGAGAGAGAGAGAGAGAGAGAGAGAGAGAGAGAGAGAGAGAGAGAGGAATATTATGTTACGTCTTTGATCCTGTTTAGTCGTAACAGACAACCACAGTGTCTCTGTCTCCCCTCATAAACATGTCTCACAAACGACACACTCCTTCATTAATCTCAAACATGTGGATCCTCCGTGGAACATTCTAGAGCACAAATCTACTACAATACGACTCCCATGCAAACAGCGCAAGAACATGACGTGATATGACAAACATCAAAACCAAAGTCTAATCTAGAGTCAAAGAAAATTATACCTTTGATTCTAATGTAAGTCAGTGATATTACATCCTTATGTCAACCAAAATCTGCTGTGACTCATTATATTCGCTTTATAGAGGTGTCATGTAGCCTTATGAAGGCTCCTGTTGTGATGGTGCGACATGACAAAACCAAGCTCACTCTATTCTGGAGTCAAAGGACATATACTTGATATTTGAATGCTTGTCAGTGTTGTAACAGCTTTATGCGAGCAAAAATCTGTCAACTTACTTATGTCAGCTTTATGACAGCTGACGCCTGTTGGAATAATCATTTATGCAGTTCAGTGCCAAACTTGTATTGGATTGTAGGTAAATATCACATTGGTATAAATTAAATTTCTTTGTCTTAAGTGTTTTGAACTTTTGCACTGAACTGCATAAAGGATTATTCCAACAGACTTTATCTGTCATAAAGCTGACATACTGTAAGTAATGTAACAGATTTTTGTTGAAATAAAGCTGTTATAACACTGACAGAAATTAAAACTGTGTATTTTCATACTGTGTATTTTCTTTGACTCTAGATAAGAGTGAGTTTGGTTTTGTCATGCCGTATCATCCTAAGGGGAGAGTTCATAAGGCTACATGACACCTGTATAAGGTCTTCCTGACAACTGGTATAAACCTACATAAACAATTACAGTGAGTACAAAAGTTTATACCCCTTATGGATTGTACTTTATAAATAAATTTTTGTCTTCTTCATTTGTTTCAAGGTTGTGCACTAACTCTATTTGTTTATGTAAGTTTATGCCAGTTGTCAGGAAGACCTTTCGCAGGTGTCATGTAGTCTTATGAACACCCCTTATTTAAAGTATTACCATTATTATGAGGAGACAAGAGCATGGCGATTTCCAGAGGGCAGCAAAACCCATTAGCCCCATGTGACCCTAGAGATGACCCATGCACAGCATCGTTCCTGTACAAGGGTCTTATCTCCAATCAGAGATTAGCAGCAGTGCATTATGGGGCCACTTTAGCCTGGTAGAAATGTCTCTGTTATTCTGAGCGTGGAGAGGCGGCGTCCATTAGAGTGAGCGAGGAGCGGGGATGACATTTTCACCTCCCTGATATCATAATCATCTACGCTACTAATGTTTTCAGCGCTCATAGTGTCAAGAGTCTTCTTTAAACACAGAAACGTGAGGATTATTAGTGATTCAGATATGATGCTTAAAGTGGTAATCAGTAAACAGAATAAATAAGAATGATGTGAAAGGTCTGTCATTATAGAGCAAAGCATTTGTGTGTATGTGTGTGTGTGTGTGTGAGAGACAGAGAGAGAGAGACTTTCTTCCCAACTGGATTGTCAGTTCTTCGACTGTGCACTTCCCATTCATCTCTCTCTCTCTCTCTCTCTCT